TGCACCGGTGGGATCCCTGGAAACTTTACAGTTCTTTAACCTTTCTGAGTTTTATTTATTCATTCTTTTCTTTTCTTCCTCTTCCTTTTCTGTTTTTCTCCATTTCATAGTCTCTCATCTCTCCACTCCAATGGCAAGCTCCCCTAGCATTCTTTTTTGTTTGTATTTTTTGGCTCCTGTTCATCTCCCCTCTCTCCCATACCTATATTAGCTCCACACATAGCAATCTCCCTGTTACATCCTGCCTACCTGGACCGTGCACTTAACATCACACCACCAAGCAGCATAGGCAAGGGCCTACTGGAACCTGCCCTGCACTGATTACAGACCCGCTCTGGTGGCTGTAGTAAGTGCCACAAACAACCCGTCCCAGTAACTCCTCTTCAGCTAGACCTGCCCTGACATACCATGTCTGAGTGACTGACCCTGCCAGTTGAAGAAGGATGTGAAAAGTACAGTGCCCATAGACGAGCAAACAAAAAAGAACACACACTCTGCTTGCTCAGACATAGTCAAATTTTTTTTAAAAAGGGACGAAATGAACAAATCTACAATCAATAAAAGAGAAAAATAACTACTGAATGCCCCAAAGACAGCAGACAATATCAAAACGTTTACAAAAACAGGACAGGAAGGTTCCAGAGGCATCCAAAATAAAACACCAGATGGCTTTCCAGTGGAAAAAAATGCACTAGAACTACCTGATAGGGAATTCAAATCTCTAATACTCAGAATTCTCCAAGAACTGAGTCAAAAAGCTGACAAACGTGAGGAAGAAATAGACAAATTCGTGGAAAATACAAACAAAAAACTGGAAGAATTCAGGAAAATAATGAAGAAACAAAATGCCAAAATAAATTAACAGCTAGAAATTATACAAAGACAACAATTAGAAATAAACAACAAGATTTCAGAAATGGACAGTGTCATAGAAAGGCTGAGAAGCAGATTTGAAATGCTGGAAGACAGAATCACTGGAATTGAAGACAAACACTTGGATAGAACTCTGTTTCAGGAAAACTCAGAAAAAAGAACAAAGAAAAATAAAGAGACCCTGAGGGTTCTGTGGGATACAATCAAAAGCAAAAAATTTCAAGAGATTGGAATTCCAGAACAGGGGGAGAAAACAGAAAAAACAGAGAAGATCATTGAAGAACTGCTGACAGAAAACTTCCCCAATATCATTAAAGATGAACAGCTGGCCATCCAAGAAGCTCAATGAACCCTAATTAGGATAGACCCCAAAAGAAAATCACCAAGGCATATTATAATAACACTCGCCAAAACCAAAGACAAACAAAGAATCCTGAGAGCAGCTCCTGAAAAACAAACAGACACATACAGAGGAGAAACCGTAAGACTAAGCTCAGATTATTTGGCAGAAACCATGCAGGCAAGAAGGCA